AACTTCGCACCAGGGAGTGGCATTTTTACGGCTCCCTGCTCTGCCCTCCGTTGTTGGGCTGTGGGAGTCGCTGTTGCCATTGTCCGCGTCGCTGTTTGCTTTTATCCACAGCCCAGTGCTGTGGCGATACGCCTTCCGCAATGATCAGGTCTACGCGATAGGCACTCTGTACCTCTCAACCCTAACTCGCAAGCTGCCCTAAGCCCAGGAAGGGGCGAGGAGGTGCAAAAAGGGATACGCCAATACGGGTATCCCGGGCTCGCTAGGCTGACCTCATTGAAACTACAGTCACATCGCAGGACGATTTGAACTAAACGCGCTATGATTGACTCCCCGGGGCCGTGTCAATACTGGGCGAGATACCCGACCAAACTGGCTAGCTGCGGGCTCGCCGTGTTCGCGTGCGCCTCGTGCCTTCATCACTGAAGCAGAGCTCGAGGGTAAGCACCAGGGCGGAGAGGGCCTACAGCTCTGCCTGCGACTGAATGTTATCAGGGAACCCTTCACCCCTCTCTACTGGCTGTAGAGAAGAATGAACGAGTTCCAGGCGTCGCGGCCATTATGTTTTCGTCCCAGAGTGGCCGAGGTGCTTGCCACACGACTCCGCTTCAGTGTATGTGACACGGGGCGCGCGCGGACGCGGCGGGCCTGTGGCCGCTCAGTTTGGTCGGGAATCTGTTCAAATGGTCCCTGTGATGTGGCATGTACTCCTCTGAAGCCAACGAAGCAACCCCAACATTGTAAGCTGCGACTACGAGCTTTTATAGCAGATCTGATGCTATGGCAATGGCGGTGGTTTGACTAGCTGGCTCGAGTGAGGGCGAGCCAGCCAGGTCTTCGCCGGCCACGGAGAGTGTTACATGACTGTACTTACTTACCGCGATCGTGGTCTTGAAGCCTGCCTACTATACTAGTAGTACTAGTACAGTAGTAGTAGATCCACAGTACGTACCTGTACTGTGGCTGTAGCCTGGATCTCTAGTCTAGTACATGATTGTACATCTTACTGGATGGGAGCCTTGGGAGGTGCTCGGTTGACGTTCCATGATCCAGTAGATCTACTAGCTGCTGTCCATTTCGACCCAATGAACATTTTGCCGCCTCACTGCATGCGATCACAAACCCAGTTTGTGTCACCTGGTCACGTAGAGCGACTTATCGTCCTTCTTATCTGCACGACCTGTCCTCTTGGAGGCAGATGACTGTCCTACTCCAACCCATCCCTCGAGCCTCATCAGCCATCAATCATACTCAACTCTCAAGTGCATACTATACTACTAGACTACGATCTACATCAGTACATGATATGACTGTACATAACTGTACATGACTGTACATGTACGGTGCCGTGGTGGCCTAGACCCTATCCATTAATTCCCGTCATGGATTATTATTGGATAGGACAAAATCATGGTCTAGGCCACCACCATATTGGATGACCGATCCCTTCAATGTTTCTTGTCTTTCCTTTTCCACCTGGACTCCTCCTTGGTTTGCCTTTTTCTCTCTAGCTCTTCTCTTGTACCTTCTTAATATTATTAATCAATTTTATTTAATGTGTGGGGCTTTGAATAAATCCT